ACCTGAAAGTTTTGCACTTCCCTATTTTTGAAGCAACTCATAATTTCATGATTCTTGATAAAAATAAATTTGTAAAAATTCCCTTAATGTCAATAACTTTCACATGATTTTCAGGGAGGCTGAAATTGAGACCATTGAGACCTGTACCATGTTCCTTGCTCAGGTAGCAGTAGTTTCTCAAGGTCTGAAGAAGAATTCCCACTCTTTAGAGTCTGCCTGAAGTTCACTGAGTTATAGACTATTTTTCATGTTAGTTAATCAGCCATGACTTCTCATTAGTTTATTTCCACTGAAACAATCCTCATGGTAACAGAGAATTTAAAAATGTTTCTTGCTAATCACCAAAGTCACAAGGTTCTGCTGCTAGAGCAGATGCCAGAAATAGATCAAGTGACAGCAAGAAGCTTCCTATTCTTCCTGAAGGGGGATAATTCTTCTCTAAAGACTTGTTGACCCATGCTTTTGTTCAGGGAACTGTAATATTGGTGACTGGTTTGTTCTTCAAAATATTTCAAGAGGGCTTCAGAATTGAACAGATTTCTACAGCTGTTGTAGATGTCAGAAGCACTGGTGGTAGGGATGGGAACAGCTAGATGATAACAAAAGCATATGGAGGATTTTTATTTGTTTTTCTGTAGAATGTTTTCTTTAGCAAATGAAGATTACCAACAATTAGATGCACCTCAGATGACTAATTTGCTGAAATCCTAATGGAAATATAGAGACTACAGCCCACCCAGGGCTCAGACTTGCCAGTAGCTGCCTTGAAGACAATAAGCAAGCTGAGGGACTAAAAGCTGCAGGAGCTCAGGAAAAAAACACAGGCTCCGAGCCAGCACACCCAGTGGGCTGGTATCGCAGCTCTCAGGCTTTCTGGGGAGAACCAAAGTGTTCTGCAACTTTAGAGACCTATTTTAAAACAGAATAGTATTTTATTGTGCTTAATTCCACAATTAAGAAAGCTATGTGCCAGAAAAATGTGCTGCTTCTCAGATTTTAAGACTGCACAGAGAGAAAGATATCAGCTCATACTATCAAAACCAAAATGATACTGTTATTTTAAATCATCTCCTGGTACAATGCTGACAAAAGCCCTACGTCACATTGTTCAGTTCCCATATAAAATCAACTCAGATTTGAGTAATACTTTCTCCTCATCTCCAAGGAATTATTGACTCTATGCTCAGCAAACATTTTGCAAGGGTTCAGTGCCACTGTCGTTCCATCTGTCTCTGGAAGTCAAGATAATAGGAAACAATGGTATCTGCTTCTGTATATTCAAAGACTTCATGGTGGAAAAATGTTCACATTATGAAACTTCAGGGTCATAAAATATTCAAGGTAAACCAGTTATGATTCTAGAAGATTTTTGACTTGAGTCAAAACCACTTGAATGTTCCCTTGCCATTGAAACCATGTGAAAGAAGAGGTATTAATAGAGTGAAGCCTTTACTGTGTTAACGAAAGAAGCGGCCTGATTTGTCAAAACAAACCCCATTGTGTGTACACCACTATAAATCATGAGGCTGTTAAAAGTCTACTCATTTTCCCATATGAATGACTGCCACTAAACATGCGAAGAAAAAAACCATTGTTTTAAATAATAAGCAGTTCTCTAAATATTCGTTAAACTTTGATAAGCTTCATAAAAGACAGTGAAGTACTTGACACATTTCAGCATCAGTGAAAATGGTAACAGTTCCTTTTAAGAAGACAGAATTCACTGTGGAAGTGACTTGGCAAAGAAATTTGTTTTAGACCATATTCTCCTAGTTCAGAACACACAAAAGATTTGGACCTCAAGAGAGTCATACATTAATGAAACAAAACACTGTATCTCTCTCATCTGATAGTTATGATGCGGTTTATACTGTTTAGATAAACTGAAGGCATGGAGAAAGGCAAACTGATTGAAACTCCACCATACCCACAGCTAAGATTTGTAGTCTTTCAGAAACGGCAAAGTATCTGACACTTTTATAGCTTCATCTTCTCTGTATTGTCACATCAGGGAGCTGTAGGGAGCAGTAAGATCCTCTGAAGTTGTTTCTTCTCAGGATGAAAAGGCCCAGCTCTCAGTCTCTTTTCATACATCAGGTACTCCTGACTCTGACTCTTGGTGGCCCTAACTGGATTCACTCCTGTATGTCAATATTCTTGTGCTAAGGGCACAAAACTTGGACATAGTAGTCCAGTTGTGGTCTTACAGGTGCTGAACAGAAGGGAAAGATCACTTCCCTGTACCTGCTGTCAAGACCTTCTCTAATGCTGTTCAGGCTATGCTGTCTACCAGGACCCCAGAGCTTTTCTGCAGAGCTGCTTTCCAGACAGTAGACCCCAAAAGTGCCTTATGGCTGGAATTACCACAACCCAGGGGCAAGAGCTTTCATTTGTTCTTGCTGAAATTCATAACATTTCTGTCAGCCCACTTCTCCAGCCTGTCCAGGTCCCTCTGACAGCAGCCCTCCCTTCCCAATTTGGGTCACCTCAATCTGGCGTAACTTGCAAATTTGCTGAGAGTAATCTCCATCTCATCATCCAGGTTGTCAATGAAGATATGGAATAGTATTGGTCCCAGCACTGATCCCTGAGGGATCCACCATCTACTGACTGCAAGTTTGGCTTTTTAAGACGAACCTATTTTCTGTCTACTTTATAGTGTCTTTATCCATTCTGTGTTCTACTAATTTTTGGGCTATGGAAGAGGCTAAGGGCTTCTTTGTCCCTCAAGGACAAAGGGTCCTGACAAGCATCTCCCTGAACAAACATCTCCCCTCATCATACTATTGACCATGTGTATCAACAAATTGTCTTCAATCTGTTCCAGAAATCTGGATTGCTTGTGTTCAGCCTTATTGGCCTTCCAGTAGTTACCGTTGTGGTTAAAGTCACTCAAGAATACCAATGTCTGGGACTGAGGCTTTTTCCACCTCTCTTAAGAACGCTTCATCTGCCTTCTCTTGTTGATGAGAAGGTCTAGAGCAGGCACCTACTACTATATCACTGGTCTTGGTCTGAAATTTGATTGCTGCCCAAAAGCTCTCCAGTGGTCTGCCACTTCACCCAAGCCTCTGTCCACTCAAAACACACCTTCGCATAGAGCATACCCTTAAGGTAAGGCATCTCATACTGGCATCCTGTTAGCACCCTAAGGTACATGTGACTTGTATATACAACTGGGTTCAAGGTTAAGGAGTTGCATCACTTTTGTTACAGAAGAAAGGGATAAGTGGCCCAGATACGCTGAACTTCCTTAGGTTTCCCCCTTCTTTGGTGAAAGAAGTCTGAAGTTATGATCCACTGTTACTCTTTTCAAACATATCTGAACCATAGTAATTATAGGGAAGAAACAAGATCTTTTAATTAGAAAACAAGGGGAATGTATATGTAGGCAGATGGAAAAGTTTCCATAGAACTGATTTCAGTGCTGTTGGAATGTATTAAAATGTTTTTATTCAATTATTAATCATATTATAGAATAACTATTAACTCTACACAATAGAAATCAAAATCTTTAATGTGGATACTTATCTAATGATCTGTTAAACTCATTGTAGAGAAACAGAGATTTTATATGTGTATGTTTTTAAACTTTACTAACAAACAGAACTGTCAATCCATCTTTCATGATGGGATATATATATCAACATTAGTAATATTTGATTCAAAATCCACATAATTAATGACCTTACACACTTTTAACTTCCTCTACATTTCTCAAACTTTGTTTCACTATATTTAATTTATTATTTAGACTGTACATGATGCAATGTTTATATGATAGTATTAATATAGAATCACAGAACATGCAGAGTTGGAAGGGACTCACAAGAATCACTGAAGTCTAACTCCTGGCCCTGCACAGGACCATCTCCTAGAGTCACACCATCTGCCTTAGAGGGTTGTCCAAACTCTTCTTGAACTCTGACAGGCTTGGTGCTGTGACCACTTCCCTTGGGAGCCTGTTCCAGTGCCTAACCACCTTCTAGGTGAAGAACCTTTTCCTGATATCCAGTGTAAACCTCCCCTGACACAGCTTCATGCTGTTCCCTCAGGTCCTGTCACTGGTTGCCAGACAGAAGAGATCAGTGCCTGCCCCTTCACTTCCCCTCATGAGGATTTTGAATACAGCAGAGGTCTTCCCTCAGTCTCCTCTTCTCCAGACTGAACGAGCCAAGTGACCTCAGTCACTCCTCATATGCCTTCCCCTCTAGGCCCTTCACCCTATATTTAATTTTACATATGTATATATTTTAAAAATACGTATAGTATTATATATACAAACTTTTTAAATGCCTTTCAAATATGCCACTAAAAAAATAAAAAGTTTACCATTAAAAAATTTCCCATTATTTTTAAAAACCTTTTTTCCCATTAAAATATACCCTAGTACACAGATGTCTGCAATTGTACTTTCAAACAAGAAAATAGTGCACTTTAATACTGCAATGTTCAGCGTCTTGCAAGTAACTACCTGCCATTATGTAGTACCATAAAGCCCAAGTTTTGTTCTCAACTCATTCATTATGCTATGTAGTCGCTCAAACTACAGATTGCTTGACACCCTGCTTTACAATATCCTGAGGTTTTAGCTGGTATTTACCTCTTATTTGCAATGGTATGATAATTATGAGGTTAGTAAGTGCCTATAGCAAAACTTCTTAAAAAAAGAATGTTTCACATCTTGACTTAATAACATCTTGTTTTTCACTCAGTTTTACAAGTTTAATTGAAAATCTCTAGTCTTTAGGCCATCTGCATGCAGTAAAAGATAAATAATGAAAGAAAGAGTTCTGTAACACCCCAACACCTCTCAACATATAATAAAAGAAACCCTACCAAACCCTAAAACACCCAGATCTCAAACTGCAAAGTTTTGTTTACCACAAATTCTTTTAAGCTAAGGATTTCTATCTGGCATTATAAGTTAATTCATCTGAGTCAGACTTTGACATGTAACTTGATTTCTTCAAGCTAGAGATGCAGTACCAATTGCTTACCTGACTCACACGCAAATGTCTTTGATGTCTCATCATGAAAGATAATTGCCACTGCATGCTTCTTTGTCTCCCGAGGCAATCTGGTTATGTTTTTGATATTGTGCAGCTCAGTTACCTTAAAATGAAGAAAAGTATTTTAGACCAGTATATAAATAGTACAAATAAAAATATTAACCTTAACTGCTCCATTTTTACTATCAAAATTTTACTATTTTCCCCCTGTTTTGGTTTCTGCCAGGTCAGGGTTAATTTTTTACAGAAGTTGGGAGAGGGTCCTGGTTAAGGCCCAGATGTTATTCCATACTACATTGCCGGGTCGGGAGTAAGGGACTCGAAGTGATCACTTCCCAGGAGAAGGGTGTTCCTTCCAGTGGAGAGAAAGTCTGGTGGGGAAGAGCTGATCCATATTTGTCGTGGGCTTTCTGTGTAAATTGTTTCTTAACCTTACACATTTTTTTATTAATATTGCTGCTGTTAGTGCTAGTTTTCTTATCTCATCACTGTTTCCAGTCAATTGTTCTTATCTCAACCAGTGATTTGCATCTTTTGTGCCTCCAATTCTCAACTCTGTCCTTCCAGACCAGGAAGGCAGAAGGGAAGGGGGAATGAGTGAACGGCACTGTGGTTTTAAGTTTTGGTGGGAGAACTAAACAGGGGAATACCATTCCTAAACCACAACACCCCCTAAGCTTATTTATATTTAGAAGCTTTTTAATTGATAAAAACACATAAATAGGTAGAATCTAAAGATGCAAAACTTTCTATAAAATATAATGTATTAAAAAGGGAATGCTCTATTTCTCTAATAAAGTCCTACTTGGAATCATTGTTTACAATAACATCAAGTCAGCCTTATGATTTTTGGCAATCTATTTTTCAATTTCTATATTCATACGACTTGGATCAGTTTCAGAAACTACATCAAATAGAAAACCTAATGTAGGAAGGACAGTGTTTTATTAGTTAAGTGCGGTAACTCAATTAATATGTCAAATAGTATCACTACATTTGTAAGAATAGATTCTCATCTGTCTTTAAAGTGTAACAGTCACCCCCAAAAGAACTCAAAGTTTTATTTTATTTTCTAAATATCTGAAAAGCTTATCTACAAAAAAATACCCTTCCAGCAAATTTACGGCATAAAAAATTCAGTCTATTTCCATTTTCTTTTGATGCAAGTAGATAACTACTATTAATACAAATGGAAGAAAAATACGTTATTAAAACCAGAGCTGGTTGGACAGCTGATATTAATCTGCTTAACACCTCATATTATAAAATCTTTTTCTCAGTTTCTTGGAACTCTGGGCAAAATTTATCTGTTTATAGTTGGTTTATTCAGGCAGGACATTTGCCTCAGGCAGAATTAATTTCTAAAAAAATGTCATCCATATGAGTTTGGCCATCTATGACTACGGAAAAAATGGACTGAAAGTAGGTGTGAGTTTTTTTGTTTTTCTTTGAAATTCTTATGCTCCCAGTATACAGGTCTAGCATTCCTTTTCATAGGCTGGAAGAAATGTTTTTAAGGCAACAGAAATTTTATATGGTGCAGAAAAGAAATGGAACATGTTTGGGCAAGGATATTTCAAATAATATTTATAGCAGATGAGCAGTGAGAGGCATCAGGAAGCCAGCAAAAGAAACTGAGACAAGCATGAAATGTAAAGTTTATGTGTTGACGATTAACTTGAGATTAGAACTGAAGATTGCTCTAGGGTCTATCTTGACAGCCTTCAGCAAAACTAACTTCAGTTTGTCAATATCTTTGTTGTAACAGGTGGGCCAAAACCAGATGAAGTTCTGTAAATATTGTCTAATGTGTGCTGAACTGAGGGGGATAATCATTGCCTGTATTGACTGGCCATGGTGCTGTTCATACTGCCCATGGAGTTTTACTAGAGCTGAGGCAACAAGATCCAGGACCCTACCCACAGGCCTGTTCCCAGCCTGCCCATCCCAAGCCTGTGTCATTGCAGGGGATCCATTTTGATTTTCCTTTGTCTCTGGAATCATACTGCCTCCCTAGACAGCACAAAACTTCTTATAACTCCAATGTGACAGGCAAAGTTATATGAATTGCCTCTTCCAAACTCCCTTTTACTCTCTTTCTTAAAGTCAAGGTTTTTGGAGCCATTCGTAGTTTCACACAGAAGTCATATTCCTCTTGTGTATAACTTTCCACAAAAATGGACCTGTTTGAAATGGACCATGAGATACTGTGAGACATCTATTGTCTTGTCAGATGCTTTAAAGGTTTAACATGGGTGGACAAAATATTTCTGCCAGATGAAAAAAAAATTTAAAAATTATATCTTTCTCATTGAAATGCTTTGTTTTACAAGAACCAAAAGAAATGATAATTGTTGTTATAATATTCTGAGGATATAGGGAATTTATACACATTTTAGAAAAAATAACTAATTTACTGGGCAAGCTAACAGACAGGAAAAAAAGAGAAAAAAAGTAACTAAGCTTTAGCACTCAGCCCCATCATATCTGAGAAAGCAGCACATTTCACAGATTCACAGAATGGCTGAGGTTGAAAGGAATCTCTGCAGGTCATTTGGTCCAGCCACTCTGCTCATGCAGGGCCACCTAATTGCCTAGGACCAGATGATTTTTGAGTATCTCCAAGGTGAGTCAGACTCAGTAACCTTCCCAGGTAATCTGTATCAGTGTTTGTTCAGTGTTTCCTGATATTCAGAGGGAACCTCCTGCATTTCAGTTTATGCTCACCGCCTCTGGTCCTGTCACTGGGCATCAATGAAAAGATCCTGGCTCTGTCTTCTCTAAACCCTTCAAGTGTAGAGAATATTCTCATTAATAAATATATAATGAATGATCCTTCTCATATTCAGGCTAAACAGTTTCAGCTATCTCAGCCTTTCCTAATAGATGAGAACCTTCAGCCCAGTTCCCTCATCCTTTTTTTGACCCTTCATTGTACTCTCTCCAGTATGTTCATGCTTCTTTGATACTAGGAGCCCACAACTGGACCCAGCACTCCAGGTGTGGCCACACCAGTGTAGAGTAGTGGGTCAGGATCACATCCCTCAACCTTCTGGCAACACTCCTCCTAAAGCAGCCCAGGATACTGTTATCTTCCTTTGCAGAAAGAGCATGTTGCTGGCTTGTGAACACCAAACCATATACAAGCTGAAGGAGCAGTTTTATTTTTATCTGTTGGGCAAGTCAGTAGGTTGACAGAAAGAAATCCCAGAAGTTCACATTTCAGGAACACAAGTTGACTCTAACAACAAGAGGAGCCATATTATCAAATAAGTCCCTTAGTATTTCTATTGGTTATGTAATTTTTAATATCAAATAGAGATGAATATTTGCTTCCATATTAATCTTTTAAAAAATACTGTATGCTTCCCTCCATAATCAGAGCAGAAAGATAGAGGCAAGACTGTGAAAGTCTATCCTCCCATTTCTAGAGAGAATTAAGTTAATCAAATTCTGAATTCTGGGTTTAATGCCAGTGGAGCATGAGTCATTTTTCTACTTGCTGAACACTTAAAATTAAAAAATTAACACCTGAGAGTTTAGATTATTTTGTATGAAGGAAAAAATTAACTTTGCCTTGGCAACCAGACTGCTTTATCTCAGGGATTTTTAAAGCTCTGTCTTAAATTTTATCTATCATTTTTTAAAAACACATAATTCAATAAACTCTTTTAAATGGAGAAAAGTATCAAAGCTACCAAAAAGACAAAAAAACCCCAGTAAAAAGTCAGAACTGTTTTGAAACAATTTAAAATATCTCTTTCCAGACTTTAAGAGGTTTTAAAAGACTAATAAAATTGAAAAATTATATAAAAAAGTCCTCCTTTTTTATGAATAGTACATTAGGTAATTCTATTTTTTAAGGAAGGAATATTATACCAAAATCTGCTCCCTGTGGTATTATAATGACTGTTCTTCACAACAACAAAATAGCACTTTGAAACTACTTAGACCATTGTTTAACTTGCACCAGTAGAAAAAAAAAAATGGGGAAATTTACTGTGCCATTACACATGTAAGAGTCTTATCTAGACTCTCCACAAAAAAAAGGTGGGTATTTTCCCATTGTGGGATTATACTTTGCCTAAAGCTTTGGCAAAGTTAAAAACAATCAAAACCAAAAAGACTTTGAAAACCAGTTTTCTTATTTTCCCCATTTGTAACTCTCTAGAATGAAATTAACTTCTTCAATAAATAAAATCCCTAATATTACCTGCTCAGTGAGCAATCTTGCAAATTGTTTTCTTGTCTACCATTATTCTTTGATTTCTTCCAGTAGCTAAACATATCCTCTATAATTTACAACTTTTCATTAACATTAGCTTGTTAACTTAGATGTTCTTTACTAGACAGTGGTGCTACCATTCAGTGCCATTCTCCATATGTTGCTCAGTGTGGTCCGTAATAAGGACTCTTAGCACCTGGACCATTTCTCAGTTCTCCTACTCCTCATCAATAGTTCCTGCCTCATATGTTCATCACTCAACAGCCCACACATACATTTCCTTGCTGCTTCTTTTTTTCTATTTGGTTTGTTGATCTGTTTTTGTATCAGTCTCTAAGACCACTTCACTTTTCCCCTAGACAGACTATTTACACTTGTTGATGAAAAGATGTAGAATTGTTACTTAAATTATAAGTTAATAAACTTTCCTTTGCCAAGCTTTCTTTGTGTTTTTTTTTTTTTTTTTAATTTTCATATCTAACAGGTTTTTTTCTTTCTTGAAGGTTTGTCATAACTATATCAGAGACATCCTTGTTCTTTACTTCTCATTAATATTTGATGAATGGACATCAAAGCCTACATAAGCCTGAAGGGCTACTAGGTAGGATAATTTCTAGGATTGGTAAGGCAGCATCTCACTTCTGCAAAATTAAACTAGGCATGGCTTGCATCAGGGTCTCAGGGCTACACATCAATGTTAGTTACTGTAACTTGGTTCCTCTCACAGTCAGGAATTTGGATCACCTCAAATATTCCTTAAAAGCACAGCTGAAAATAAATGCACTTGATCTGAACACAATCCTTTTTTAACGAGTCTCAGATTGTTCACCAAAATGTAAAACTTTTTCACAGATGTACATCAAGCACTAAGCAAGAAA